CTGGCCTCAAACTATAGAGATTCCCCTGCTTCTGGAGTGCTACCCCCAAGTGCTGGGATTGTGTACCACTATCTCCTGCTAGTGATTTTCAATAAAAGGAAAAAAAATAACAGCAAAAAAGAATTTAACTGAGTAAAAAATAAATGCATTTCTGTGCATGCATAAATGCGTATGTGAGCATTTCACTATGGAATCTCACTAAGGAAAGCACATTTGAGGGAAGGTGAGGCTGGGAGGGACAGTAGGGGTGGCAGGGGGAGTGGGGAGAGGCATGAGTGCTGAGAAACAGTACATCTATGTAGAAGAAGCAGAAGAGATGAAGGGCTGGGCCTGGTGGCAGAAGCCTGAATGTCCAGACAAGAAATTCAGACAGTTCTAGCATGTGGAATCTTTTAGAACCATCGATTCCAATTGAGCATTTGTGGTCTAGTGGTGTCTTTTAATGCTGTTTGGAAGGGGACACACACATTGAGCAGCCCTTGAGAGCAGCCTGTTCCCCTGTAGGAACAGTGTGAACCTTGAGCTCCGTCTCCAGGGGGTGCTTGGCAGTTAGGCATGATGATTCTGGATCACATGGCGTTTAAGGCTTGCTACTTGTTTTCAGCTGTTACCTCGGGAGCGCACACCACAACCAGCGTGGGGACCTGGGTTTGCTGTGTAGGCACTGGGGCGCGTATGCACTTAAACTTTGGAGAAGTGCAGCAAACGAGCTGGCGTCCAGGGAGGGCCTTAGGCGAGGCCTCGTGTAAGGACCTTTCACCCGGCTGTCGCTCTGTCCTCACTACAGCCCTTACCAAAATGTAGCGTTCTTCCTTTCCACACAAGAAACTGAGGATTATAGGGAGGCAAACCCAGGTGTCACCAGTTGAGATTGATGGGGAGACGCAGACCTGGATCTGTCTCTCTTCTGCACACTTGATGCTCAGTCAGCGGTGTCCTTGGAGGCTCTTGCAGATCTGGGGAAGGGATGGCCAAGTGCTGCTGCAGAGCAGAAGTCCATCAGCAGTGGAAGCTGCTGTGGGCGGAGGCCAGAGTATCTGCTAGCATGCAGAAATAACAAAATGGGCCAAGAGGGTTCCTTACAGCCAGGCAGAAATGTCCACTAGAATCTGGGGGAGTGGATCACAGCACCCTGGACCTTGAGTCCCTGTGAGCCTCAGGGAGGTTGGTAGCAGTGATGTTATCAGAAGTGAACCATCTGACAGCTCAAATCAGAGTCATCCTTAGCAGAGCCGAGCTGGCCATGTGCTTTCTCTGAGGTGTCCGTTCCAGAGAGCCTGAGTCCAGATGAGTGGACCGTACCTGAGGATTTGGGCTGGACCGTTGTAAGTGACCTGATGTGAGGTGGAGCGTGTGGAGCGTGAGCAGTGTCTAGCAGTCCGCCCTTCCCTGCGGGCCGCAACCCAGATTTCTGCCAGTTCCTCCTGGGGAGGAAGCAAATCGGAAATCTGCTCCTGTAACCTGGAAGTCCAGGGAAGTTCGGTCACTTAGGTATCTGCCCACTGCCTGGAGCGGTGCCCGGTAGGGGAGGCGCTATTTAGTTTGAGCTGCCTTACCAGCAGATGTCTTCTGGCTTTGCCAGGACACAGGGCATCAGCATTCCTGTGACTTCACTTCCCCTTGTCTCCTCGCGTGTTCTTCCTGTCCTAGGTTGGGATGGAGTCCGTTTTCCAGACTACTGTGTTTCTTTCTTCCATGTGATTGGCATTTTAAGGGCGTGGTCTCTTGATGTGTTGTAGTAGTTTTATTTTTGGTCTGACATCTTCCTTTCTTGTCTTGTTGGGAATGGTGTCAGGAAATACATTTATCTAAAGAACTTTACTCAGGACACAGCAGCTCTCTGACAGTACAGACAGCAGGCTGAGCTTGTGTTGTTTCTTGCCAATTTCTTCTGGAACTGGGGGGGCTCTTCATGGTTATGACAGGGTTAGGTTGTTATTTCTGTCTCTTAGAAGGAAGAAAGGAAGCAAGCTCCGGGCAGTAGATAGGAACTAACCAACTTAGATGTGAGCCCATCTTACAACTGTTCTGTGTGTTGTATGTGCCGGTCGCTTCCAGCTGGTTGGTTTCCAGTTTTTGTTGGCCCTGACAAGAGCCCAGGGTTCCTGAGCATTCTGATAGCAGCGGCGGTCTCTTCTGTAAAGTGTTTTTATGCCAAATCTTCTGTGGAAAGGTTTGTTGCTGGTGTACTGATACTATATTCAAAGCTTGGTTCGTGTTAAGCCATACAGAAACCCTTTGTCCGCAGTCACTTGTGTTCAACTTGACTTCCCCTTCTGAAACTGCTGTTGACCTTTAACGGGGCTGATCTGTCCCTCTGCAAAAGCTGTTGTTTGAATCACATTCTCTATAAAAAATATTTTTATAGGTCTTGGGGATTTTGAAATTGTTTATGTTATTGTTTTGAGCAGGGTCCCATGTAGCCCAGGCTGTCCTTGAACCTCTGGTCCTCCTTCCTCTACCTCTCTAGGTTCTGGGATTTTAATTGTACACCATCATACCCTCTTCCTCCTCCTCTTTCTCCTCTTCTCTGTCTTTGGATACAGAGCTTCACTGTATAGCCCTGATGGCCCCGAAGTCACACTCACAGTAACCCCCTGGTTTTGCTTCCCGTGTGCTGGGATTAAAGGCATGTGCTTTGCTTTTGCCTTTTAAGTTAGCGTGTCAGTCTGTTGTCATACTGCTCTGCGAGGGCACTTGGGGGTTGTTGGTGCAAACTTACGTGTATTACTGAGTTACCTGTAAGGAAGAAAACCCCAATTTACTTTACTTACCTACTTATTTATTTAGAGATAGGGTTTCTCTGTGTAGTCCTGGCTGTCGTGGAAGTCACTCTGTAGACCAGGCTGACCTCAAACTCAGAGATGTACCTACCTCTGCCTCCCGGGTGCTAGGATTAAAAGTGTGCAACACCACCACCAGGCTATAAATCTTGGAAGAAACAGTGGGCTTTTGAATTTCCAAACAGGCACGCCTCTTTTAGATGTGCTGAGAACAAAGACTGACTTGGACAAGATAACAAGTTGTTTTCATTTTCTTTTTCTTTTTGGTTTTCCAAGACAAGGTTTCTCTGTGTAACAGCCCTGGCTGTCCTGGAACTCACTCTGTAGACCAGGCTGGCCTCAAACTCACAGAGATCAGCTACATCTACCTCCCTTAGTGCTGGGATTAAAGGTGTGCGCCACCGCTGCCCTGATTTCATTTTCTGTTTGTAGGGAAGGCCATGACTAGAAGAGTCACGTGTTAGGGCTCTGATCAGAATCAGTGTCAGAACTGAGATGGAGCTGAGGGATGGAGAACGCCCTCAGAACGACAGCACGGGAGGGAGACCCCGGGACGTTTCCAGACAGTGAGACCATGAAATGTAAAATGGCAAACGTTTATATCTTTTGCTGGAATGTAAGGAACTCAGTTAAAAGTTCTGGTTGGCAACCAATGTACATGGCCGGTTAAATATTTTAGAAAGTAGCCATTTGTCTGTGGACAGGAGCCTTTGAGGTGGAAATTGTGAAGTGGACTTGTAGAGAAGGCTCTCCAAGGAGCTGGAGGTTCTTGTGCTGTGTTGCAGTGACATGGAAAGCCCACCAGGTGGCACCAGCAATTTGCTTACCAACTGTGTCCCCAGCCACACAGTGTTTGAAGCTCATTTCAGTTTATCCCCTTGAGAATATGGCTTCATAGTCACTATGCCCTTAGTTCTGGTCCCCAAGCCCCCTTATCGTCATCATCCATCATCTTTTAGCGTCTGGTCACGTTCTGCCTACAGGGTAAGCTGTGGGCATTGGCTCCCCTTCAGGAGTTGCTGGTGCCCCTCCCTTTTCCTTTTAAAATGAGATACATAGGCCAGCCTGGCCTAGAGCTCCCTAAGTGAGCAGCCAAGGGTGACCTTGAACTTCTGATCCTCTTGCTTTCACCTGAATGCTAGGATTAGAGGCTCACTGCCAGGTTCAGGACCCCTGAACATCGATAGGGGATGCTCCTGGGGACGTGTAAGCCAGGTATGACCATGCAGTAGCTTTCCTTCTTGTCCCTTTGCTAGGACGAGCTCGCTTGTGTAGTGGCACAAGTCACTCTTGGGAGTAAGAAATCTGAACCTAGGGAACGTGTGGTTTCATAAACCTCACTCCTCCTGAGCCCCCACCACATTCAGAATGTTCACAGTTGGTGTGGATGCCATTCCTGTGGCCCCGTCTTCCCTGACGTCCTGCTGTTGGTAGTGGCAGTGTGTGACAGACAGTCGATGGCCGTGGAGTTGTGGGCTGTGCGGTACGAGTAGGAGTTTGTAAAAATCAGAGAAGAACCCTTTTTTGGCTCTGATCTCACTGTCTTAGGGAACCTGCAGCTAGAACTGCTGACGAGGGGAGAGATGGGCCGAAGGCAGCCCTGGGAGGCACAGCTGCAGGCATGCTCGTTTGCCTTGTGTCATTTTATCGGGGACATTAAGTGAATGGACATTCAACTTTTGTTTTTTAGGCAACAGATGAGGCTTTTAAGCACACTGGGAGGACATTTGAAGAGGTTTCATAATGTTATTTCATTAGTACGGCCAACCTACACAGCCAACGTGTTTTCTCTGCCTCTGCCTTCCTCGTCGTGTCTGATTTGATGACAGCATAATTTAGAAGTTCAATGTCTGGTAGTCCAGGAACATTTGAAACTAAGCAAAAGCACTTGCGTGTGCTTACTGTGAAAAGGTGAGCTGCGATGGAAGTGATCTAGAAAGTTCTGTTGACATGGCAGCTGCTGCTGAGTTTGCTAAGCCAGGGCCGTTTTATTACGAGAGCTGAGACTCTGCAGCTTTGGCTTCTCCTATGTAGAGGGCCAAAAACTCTGATTAGGAGATAAAGAGAAAATAATAGCGTTTTCCCCTGAAAATTTAGGAATTCCCCATGGTGCCCTTCCTCCTCTGTCCTGCCCTTTGGTGTAGCATTACTTTAAAGACTGGTTGGAACCGGCCTGCCAGGTACCTGTCTTTGTTTGAATCTCTTCATTTTTCTTAGCAGTTGGACTCTGCATTGGGGTACACTGAGGCTGCTCACAAGAGGCTTATGGTAATGCATCTAAGATGTGGGAACAAAATATTGGAAACTGTTGGCACAAATCAGTGCCACTAATTGGGCTGCTTTGTTTTTAGGTGATTGGTGAGGACAATGTGGCAGTTCCTTCACACCTTTACAAGGTGATTCTGGCTCGCAGAAGCCCGGAATCTACGGAACCGCTGGCACTGGGGGCCTTTGTGGTGCCGAATACAGCTATTGGTTTCCAGTCCCAGTTAACTGAGTTCCAGGTGAGCTTGCAGGACTTAGAGAAGATGTCAGGTCTGGTGTTTTTCCCTCATTTGGACAGAACCACCAACATCCGGAACATTTGCTCTGTGGACACCTGTAAGCTCTTGGGTTTCCAGGAGTTCACTCTGTACCTAAGTACAAGGAAGATCGACGGAGCCCGTTCTGTGGCCAGACTGGAGAAGGTCCTGGAAACTTTGAAGAACTCGGGGGTCGAACCTGATGATTACTTTCTGAGTCGCTATGAGAAGAAGCTAGAGGAACTGAAGGCTAAGGAGCAGGTGGACCCCCAGCGGGGAAACCTGTCCTAGTGTCTGGGTGCGCGCTGAGCACCTGCAATGAACAGCGTCCCCTCTCCAGGCAGTCGTATTTTAGCAGACTCATTTTAAAGAAATGATGGAATCCTGACTAAGCATCTCTCCAAAGACATACTGGCTCAAAACTCAGGGTTTTCTTTTCCTAGGATCTGAGTTGGTGGAGGTGGCTCTTCTCCTGTCCAAATACACTGATGATGTACTTTTTGCTTCTGCTCCCACGATCCCGATGTCCTCTGTCTACCTGTCGAAACCTTTCCTAGTGTGCTCTGTAGGATTGCTTGCGTTGTCTGACTGAGCCTCTGCAGAATCCTCTGTTCCCATTTTCCATGTGGGGATGTTGAGGCGTAGAGAACTCTGTATCTTCCCTGTTGGTATTCTACAGAAGTGCTCTCCGAGCTCAGACAAGGTTGAATGGAGTTTGACTCAAGTATTTACCTATGTGTAGGCTGAGGCTGCTTGTCCGTTTCCCAGCCACCCAGCCCCTAAATCACACAGAAACTGTTTTAATTGCAATACTGTTTGGCTAATAGCTTAAGCGTATTTCTAGCTAGCTCTTACATCTTAAATTAACCCATTTCTATTATTTTATATTTTACCATGAGGTTTGTGGTTTACCAGTATTGGTGTGCAGGTATCTTTCTCCCCGACTCCACCTTCTTTCCTCCTCTATCTGCATAGAATTCCCGCCTTGCCCTGTTCAGTACTGCAATAGGCCCAAAGCAGCTTCTTTATTAACCAGTGGTATTCACAGCATACAGGGGGAAATCCCATATCACCTATGTCCATGAGAAATTCCTGGGCTGAGGCTCTGCTTGCTGAGAAGGCTCTGTCTCTGCTGTCTCCTCAGGCAGGGACACCTTAATATCTAAGCTGGGAAGAAGAGAGCAAAGATGGAGGTGGTTTGTGGGTTTAACCAGAGCCTGCGATTCCCTCCAGGGATCTCATGGGGCCAGATAGGCTTGTTTCTTCCTTCACTCGGGGTGTTCCAGAGGAGCCCAAGAAAGGTGTGTGCTACGTCACCAGGTACCTATGGTCCTGCTGTCTGCCAGGCCAGCACACCATAGGAGGTAGATCCTGGGCCACTCCTGTGGGAGGGGGCAGCTGTTGTCTGTCTTCCTCGTGGTTTGCAGTGGAACGGGGGGGGGGGGCACGACGACAATCTTTGAGGTGTTGTTTGCCCCTGATAGAAATGCCCTGGATTTACAATAAAGATAAGGCATCGGTTGACTCTGTTCTGCTCCTTCATTTGAGTAAAAAGAAAAAGTTGGGTAGGGCACTGTAGCTGATTAATGCCATTCTGTTTTATCTTACTGCTCCCCATTGGCTTGTGCCAGTCTTTCTAAGGGTAGAAAGCCAAAATGTCACTGTGACAAAAAAATCTGTTACTTTGTCTCCTCAGAAGAAAGGTGATGATGGGGCCTGGGTGTTTCTCCAGGAGCCCCAGGGGCGGGCACTTAATGGACTGTGTCCTGGGTCCCTGCTTGTATCCATTCAGCTGAGCCCCTCTGGGTTCTGCTGTGCTGGCCCGACTTGCTGTTGGTCTTGGGTCGCTCCCCTCACTCCTGCCTCTCCTCCTGGATGGTGAAGAATCTTGACTATATCAGTATTTATTTCCTATGAAGTATTTCCTGGTTATCATGAAAAATAGAGATAAAAATGTAACATCACAGTGTGCCAGGTCTCATTCTTTTTCCTTTTGAATCTTTTTATGACTGTTTTGCCATATGCATCTGTGCCCACAGCATGAGTGCCTGTTGCCCACAGTGGTCACAAGAGGTCACTGGACCCCCAGAAATGGAGTTACAGATGATTGTGAGCCACCGTGTCAATGCTGGGAATTGAATTGGGGTCCTCTGCAAGAGCAGCCAGTGCTCTTTAGCACTGACCTGAACTCATTTTTTACATGTAAAATTTACCTTGGTGTACAAAAGCAGGGCTTGAATTGTGTTTCATTAAGAGGGCCCAAAACAAAGGGTTAGAACTCCCCTCTGGATCAGGTCATTGTGGCCTTCAGTGTAGCCGTCGATTTTTCTGGATTCCAATGCAGTAGATTCCTGGGCTTCACTTGAGTTAGAGACTTGACGTTGTGACCCGTCAAACTTGAGCAGGTTAGTTTAGCATTTGTTACCTTAGTGGGTTCCCTTGGGTTCTCAGGTTGAGCCCAGACCGCTGCCCTGTGTACCATTCAGCCCCTGCTGAAGGAATGCGCAGCCTGGGAGGGCTCTGCTGTGGGAGGGATTTAATGCTTGGTCTTTCTCGATTTCCTGTGACATCTTCAAGCTCTGGTCTCCGGATTGAGACCGCTTGGCCAAAGGCCTCACTAAGTTACTAAGGTTAGGGCGAGGAGAGCCAGACCCTGAGCTGTGCTGCCGTTTCTGCACCTACACAGTCCTTCCAGGCCTTTGATGAGACCCCTGCGGGAGAGGCAGCCTGATCCTGAGGGGTTGGTTTCCTGCAGAGCTGTGCTCAGCTTGCAGCCTGAGGCTGGAATGCTCCTCTGTGTTGCCAAGTTCCCTGCGCCCCCTGCCTCGTCTCTGAGGGTACCCCTGAGCTCACTGCATTGGCCGCAGACTTCCTGTTGACAGCCTGTAATGGCGTGGAACCTGACCATTGAGCTCACCCCGTTTCTTGCAGACTTCCTGTTGGCAGTCTGTAACGGCATGGAACCTGACATGTATCCCACCAACACTTCCCCAGCCTGTGCAGTTTTGAAGGCTATGAAGCCCTGAGGAGGTGAGGCCTAGCGGCTGGAAGTAAGGTTGGTAGAGGCAGGCTTTGAAGGTTATACTCCCTTTGGTTCTGGCCTTGTCTGCCACCACGTGAACACCCTCCACCTCTCGCTCCTGCCTCGGCAGACAGCCATTCCTGCTGCCTTGACTTCCAGGCCATGGTGGACTGAAATTCCTGCAGTCGTAAAGCTCAAAGAAGCCCTTCTTGAAGTTGCTTCCTTCTGTCAGGGATTTGTCAGTGACAGGCAGCACACGGCCCACGCTAGCCCTGAGCCCTGCTGACAGTGGTTCTCCTTCCTGCTCGGCCCTCAGCACTTCGCCTGTTTCTATCCTGTGAGTCTTTAAGCCCCCGAGACTCACTCTAATTTGTCCTGGTGGAGCTGATGGGGCTGGATTCACACAGGTGGATTTTCTGTATTCAGTCAAGTTACCAGAAAAGGCCAAACGGGGCTTTGCCCTTTGACCTGAACCCCATGTAACGGGTTTGGTTATGGTCACGGGCAATGTGGGGCTAGGGTTGCTCTGGCCCAAGTGTCCAGAGTACCTCTAGGGGTCAGTATGGCCTCGTCTCCACAAGGGTCAGCCTGTCTGGGCTGTGACAGCAGCTGCAGTGCCACCCAAAGCCCCACAGAATGTCTGACGTGCCGGCGGCAGCCCTGAGGCCTGTCAGGAGAGCGGAGCTTACCTCATCCAGCAGGCTTCATGCTTTACTCCACAGAAACCTAGTAATTCTGTCCCTCAACTGTGTGTTCAGACATGTCCGGCCTACAGAAATACAGAAGAGCGTGGTGACTGTCCCTTCGCCAGTGTTCCGTCGCAACGGCTCCTCTCCACCTGGAGCCATTGAAAATTGATTTGTTGTTCCTGCAAAAAGTACATTGAGGCATGAGAAGTCACTTTTTAATACTTGAACTTAATGTAGCCTAGGGTTAAGGACATTCTATTATATATTTGAACTATGTTATTGAATCTAAGAACATTACCAAAATTCCTGCCAGGTTTGGTGCATGTCCATAATCCCAGCAGTTAGGCAGGGGCACAGGGGTCATGTCAACCTGTCCCCTTAAGAAGATCCTGTTTGGAAGAAGGAAAGTTTATCAAGGATCTAGTAGTTCCTGTTAAAATTTGCCAAGTTATCCAAAATACCTTTTATACTTTTAAACATATAGGCTTTGGGCTGGAGAGATGGCTCAGAAGTTAAGAGCATTGCCTGCTCTTCCAAAAGTCTTGAGTTCATTTTCCAGCAACCACATGGTGGCTGACAACCATCTGTAATGAGGTCTGGTGCCCTCTTCTGGCCTGCAGACATACACACAGACAGAATATTGTATACATAATAAATAAATAAATACAAAAAAACCCAAAAAAAACACATAGGCTTTGATTTGAAGTTCCATATTGTTGTATTTCATTAATCTAGATTAATTAATATCAATATGTGGGTCATGACCCCTTTGGGGCTCAAACCACCCTTTCACAGGGGCTCCTAAGACTATTGGAAAACAGATATTTATGTTACAGTTCATAACAGTAGCAGTTTTTTTGTTGTTGTTCTTTAAAACAGGGTTCCTTTGTAGACATTTGCTGTAGATCAGGCTGGCTTCAAACTCATAGAGACCCTACCTCTGCCACCCGAGTGCTGGGATTAAAGAAGGCATGTGCCACTGCCGTCCAGCTAACTGTAGCAAAATTAGTTATAAAGTAACAATGAAAATAATTTATGGTTGGGGTCACCATTGTAATGGTCTGTCCTGTGCCCTTTAAGAGAAAAGCCCTCCCCAACCCATTGAGGCAAGCAGATCTTTTTCTACTTCCAGCCTGAGCTCCTTCCTTTCCAGCTCTCTCCCGAAGAGGCAGCTTCTGCCTCTCTGCTCTTCTGCTTCTCCTCTTACCCACTTTCCCTTTCCCCTCCATAACCCACTAAATAAATACCCACTCTTTCTGCATGGTGCTTCTCTCCCCTGTGGTGTGATTGCCACGCGGCCTGGGACCCGCTGGGCCAGTGGGCCACTCGGGGAATGGCACCATTTTACTTTAACCATAGCAACCATAACATGAGGAACTCTATTAAAGGATCGCAGCATTAGAAAGGTTGAGAACCACTGCTCTAAAGCAGTTATCTGCTTGATTTATATATATGTGTGAGTACACACACACACACACACACACACACACACACACACGACAGGCCAGGTGGTGGTGGCACACACCTTTAATCCTGGCACTTGGGAAGCAGAGGCAGGCAGATCTCTGAGTTCAAGGCCAGCTTGGTCTACAGAATGATTTCCAGGACAACCAGGACTGTTACACAGAGAAAAACCCGTCTTGAACCCTCCCCCCCCCAATAAACCAAAAAATCCTCCTAAAATTTGTGTGTATAGATACAGGTAGCTTTCTCGACAGCTCCCTTGAGATTTTGATTCAGGATATCTGTTATGAGGCTGGAATTTGCATTTTAAGAAATTACTTTATGTGTATGGATGTTTTGCTTGCATGTATATCTGTGTACCTTGTGCATACCTAGTGCCCAAAGAGGCCGAAGAGGGCAGGTCCCCTGCGACTGGTTGTGAGCCACCATGTGGGTGCTGGGACTTGAACTCAGATTCTTTGGAAGAGCAGTCAGTGCTCTTAATCACTGAGTCATCTCTCCAGCCACAACTTTCATTTTTTTTTAATTTAAGAAAATGTGTGTATGTACATGTGTGTGTGTGCACGTGCACGCACGAGTGTGAGGACGTGCATATTTCATACTGTGTGTGGAGAGCCGAGGATAACCCCAGGTATCAGTCTTCGCCTCTGCCTTGTTTGACGTGGGATGCCATTCACCACTGTGCACCAGGCTAGGTCGCTCATGAGCTTCGGGGGTTCTGGCTCTGCACCCATGTTTTACCTTAGTCTTGTGATTACAGACACGTGCTGCCGTGTCTGGCCTGCATGTGTTGCGGAGTTGGCACTTGGGTCTTCACACTTGTGGAATTGATGGCTTGCCCGGTGAGCCATTTCCCCAGCCCTGGAATCCTTAATTTAAAAAGAATGGTACGTGGAAACATCTTCCAAAGCGAAAATAATTTTCTCTGTTGAAGAGAACTTTGTCCTTTTCTGCCTTAGGTTATTGCATATTTTTCTGTGGGGGCATTACATGTGCGTATGTCCTGGTTTCCTTTTGATATTTCTCTTTGTATCAAAGGAACTGTTCAGCTTAATAAAATTGTTGTTCTGTGGTTTTGTTTAATAAGAAAGAGGATGGTGACTGTGACAATCAGCCAGGACTGGCTCCAGGCTGCCCCCTGTGCCCTCACCTTCCTGCAGAGACTGGCTGCGGCCTGAGGGTTCTTTCAGCTCGGAAATTCACAAAGACCCTGGGCAGCTGGCTTACACGCTCATGTGCTGGGCCCTTCACAGTAAAGCCCTGAGAATGTGCTGCACTGAGTCCAGGGCATGGCTGACCCCACACACGCTCTGGTTTCTCACTGTATGTTGGTTCGTGTGGACCCTTTC